TGAGGAGGCTGGGAAAGCATGGAACCATGAAATTGGCATTCACGGCGGCCTAAGGATTAATATAGGCCTCATTTCATAATGGGAAGTGTCGTAACTGTTCCTGGTGGAGAGTGAGGGAACGTGATTTACGGGACCACCGTAATAAAGTGGTAAAATGAGTGAATAAGGGTAGGACCGGGTGACTGGCGCATCACTATGGACTGTGTCCTGGGAAAAATTACCCTTGGTTTAATCATCACTCATCGGTCTCAGATCTTAATGGAGTGATCTCTAATGTGTATAATAATTATGAGACATTAAATCGTCTTGTGAATTGTAATGTAATTAATGATAATAACGCTAAGTTAAGATAATGCGTGAAGTGAAATAAGTCGCCTTGCTCCGAGTGAACACGTTAGACCTCGTTGTTCCCGAGACGAGGAAAGTGAAGCTCATTGAGTCACGACTTCTAAAGCGGGACAAACCAACGGATACCTCGTCCTGCTGGAATGAGAACCGTGTCGGTGTAGCAGGACATCGAAATGAGATGGTGAATGGAGGAAATAAGGAGTATCAATCACCCACAGTTAAGTAACCCTTCTAGTTATAACAGACTGATGCTGGCCAGTTAGGTTATGTTGTAATTGGATAGGTTATGAGTGATCCAGCTACATCAAGTGACCACCAGAGAACATCTGGTAAGTGGTGGGATTATGTACAAATGTTTTTCCTTGATGGATGTATCCAGGTGTATCCTACCCCCCCCCCCCTTCATTCAGCTAAACTAATATAATCTATACAGTCCACAATTAATTAGTAGCACCGTACTTGTGGGTGCTATCCAATCCATACTGGTCTCGGATAGATATGGATAAGATTGTGAGGTCGAAGGAACCACTTGCCGCGACCAGGGGTGGTTAAGTTTTCTCACATGTCTACACGGGGTGACTACGGTAAACAATATGGTTGTCTCCCAATGAGATTACTGGTATGTATATAATGTTGAGGTACATACAGGTAAGCATCTTAGAAAATTTTCCATAATAGTCGTTACTCTGCCAAACTATCAGACAATTGCGAGATCTATATTACTGGGCACGTTAGGTATTGGTCTGTTTCCTCTGGTTCTTGGCTACTGCCTCACTAACCTCTTCCACTGGTACTGCGCTAGAAATAACTACTTTCTATCCAACTGAGAAGCCAAATTTGGATAAATACACTATGTGGAAAAAAACACTTTTCAAACATTTCACCACGAGTGCCTTATTTACTCCTGAACTGTACATAAGTGTCCTTTTTCCACATCTTGTTGGTATCACCATACCATTTCTCAAGCCATGTTTGTAATTCAAATATATATCAACATTACTTTCATGGAGGGGAGAGGTAAATCTTATCCACAGGGGCGAAAGACTTGGCAGGCGATGCAACATACCCGCAATGCCCCGCCTCTGGTACACTAAGAGAAAACACAATAAGTGTCCGGGGACAAAGACTTCAACAGCCTCCCACCAGCCATAAAGGGAATTACCAATAGACCTTCAAGAGGGAGCTGGAAAGATACCTAGTCAGTGCCATATCAGCCGGGCTGAGGTTCGTATGTTAGACTACGTGCGGCCAGCAGTAGCAGCCTGGTTGATCAGGCCCTGACCCACCGGAGTTCTGGTCATGGACCGGCCGCGGGGGCGTTGATTCCCGGAATACCCTCCAGGTAGACTCCAGGTAGGGGACATACAGCACCTGGGGAAACGAGAGACGACCATCTTCGATCCAAGGAAGCCGAGGATAAATCCAATTCCTTGGACCAAGAGTCCTCCAGTGTCCTTGTAGCCTAGTGACTCCCACGTATGAAACTGTTTCTTCCATATTAAAAGCCTAATTAAATTAATGTAACTATTCGGCACCGTAATTAAAAAGCCATTTTTTTTAACTACCCCAAAAGTTTAAGACGTGATTGTAAAGATGTGATTCATAGAGAAATATAATGGACTGCCGAGTAATGTCTTGAAAGGAGTGTTCGTTAGGTTGGGGTCAACAGGAAGCTTGATGGACATGCAGAGAACTAAAATTTCGTTGTCGGGAGACAATGTAGATCAGTTCACTCACCATCATACCACCAAAATTACACCATCACCACCATCATACCACCATTACACTACCATCATCATACCACAAACAACACACCATCAACAAATGGTGTAGTGATACTGACAATACAATCAAAGCAACACTTGTCTACAGTTCAAGGTCCGCTATAAATGGTTTAAAAAAACGACAAGTTGAAGATTGAGACACTTATGCAACATATGGGAATCTTTGTTGAGGAAACGTTTCGCCACACAGTGGCTTCATCAGTCCAATACATAGCAGGAAGGTGTAAGGAGAGGAGGAGTTTGAGGTAATCAATCCCTCAGCCTGGAGTCGATGTGTTCATTCCATCAATCTTGTAGAATGTACAGCACAAGGCCGTAGGCGTGGCTTATATACTGTAGATCTTCGTCCACAGTTTGGACAAGTTCTGAAGAATTCTTTGTAGACGTTGCCTCCCAGGGTCTGAGGTGTGCAGTTGTCTGCTCCGCGCCTGGCCCTCTGGTGGCAAAAATTGACTATCCTACAGATGGAGAGTAGCCGGTGACGGGTTAACACTATGTAAGATAAGATAAGATTTCGTTCGGATTTTTAACCCCGGAGGGTTAGCCACCCAGGATAACCCAAGAAAGTCAGTGCGTCATCGAGGACTGTCTAACTTATTTCCATTGGGGTCCTTAATCTTGTCCCCCAGGATGCGACCCACACCAGTCGACTAACACCCAGGTACCTATTTGCTGCTAGGTGAACAGGACAACAGGTGTAAGGAAACGTGTCGAAATGTTTCCACCCGCCGGGAATCGAACCCGGGCCCTCCGTGTGTGAAGCGGGAGCTTTAGCCACCAGGCCAGGGATCTTTGCTGGACCATAATGCTGATGTCCTTCTCCAAACCCTGCGAGACACATATAAGATCACCAATGAAGACATCTATGGGGTTTCCGCAAACGGTGCTTCCCGAGTTTTTGTCAAGTTCACGGCTGCTGCGGTGTACGAAGATGTCGTCCACAGATATCAAGATATACGACGTTAAGTGACCCCAACGGTGGCAATATGTCTTCGGGACGTGTCCCGCATTTACAAGTGAATCAAGAATCGTAATGTCCCGTTTGAAGCTGATGAGTATGAAATCCGTAAGGCCTTCACCAAATTTGGGACGATCCATCAGACTTACGTAGGTGTATGGGGCCAAGGCCCGTTTGAAGGTAAACCTGAGGGGTCGTTTTCGGTGAAAGTGTCCATTAAAACGTCCATTCCTACCTTTGTAACTTGTGAGTTCATTACCCTGGTACCTAGTTCAGCTATCAAAACTTTGGGGGCCCAGTCCCTGGGCCCATTACATACCTCTGTAATCTGTAAATACCTTTGTAACTTGTCATGATTGTGACCAGACCTACCTGGAGTTCATTACCTTTGTAATTTGTGAGTTCATTACCTTTGTAAATTGTGAGTTCATTACCTTTGTAAGTGTGAATTCATTACCTCTGTAACTTGCTCAGCTATCAAAACTTTGGAGTCCAGTCCCTGGACCAATTATATACCTCTGTAATCTTTTGACTACCGTCCACAGGATGGGTATGGGGTGCATAATAAACATATTAAACTGAAAACGTCCATTCCGTCGTCATCGAGGTGTTCCATACTCAGGTACGTGTGTATTACCCGGGGCAGAGGAAGAAGTGTCAGTTATGCAACGCTTATGGACACATGGCATATCAATGTGATCGTTGGCGTTCTCGACAAGGTGAATAACGTATAGCTTCAGACATTCCTACACAAGCCCCAGAGTCCATGGTAGTCGAGGGCGCCCGTGCGACACCAACGCCTCAACAGCCTCCCCACGATGCACCTGCCACTACGTCAAAGACCTGTCGGAGGATGATCTCACCTTCAAGGACCATAACATTGTATCAATCGCATCTGCTAGAAAAATGACAGGATGGAAAATGAGAACCTTCAAAACTAGGGATGCCAAGCCCATGATGACACTCTTCAGGTCATTTGTTCTATCTAGACTGGAATATTGCTGCACACTAACAGCACCTTTCAAGGCAGGTGAAATTGCTGACCTAGAAAATGTACAGAGAACTTTCACGGCGCGCATAACGGAGATAAAACACCTCAATTACTGGGAGCGCTTGAGGTTCCTAAACCTGTATTCCCTGGAACGCAGGAGGGAGAGATACATGATTATATACACCTGGAAAATCCTAGAGGGACTAGTACCGAACTTGCACACGAAAATCACTCACTACGAAAGCAAAAGACTTGGCAGACGATGCACCATCCCCCCAATGAAAAGCAGGGGTGTCACTAGCACGTTAAGAGACCATACAATAAGTGTCAGGGGCCCGAGACTGTTCAACTGCCTCCCAGCACACATAAGGGGGATTACCAACAGACCCCTGGCAGTCTTCAAGCTGGCACTGGACAAGCACCTAAAGTCAGTTCCTGATCAGCCGGGCTGTGGCTCGTACGTTGGTTTGCGTGCAGCCAGCAGCAACAGCCTGGTTGATCAGGCGCTGATCCACCAGGAGGCCTGGTCACAGACCGGGCCGCGGGGGCATTGACCCCCGAAACTCTCTCCAGGTAAACTCCAGGTAGTATGACAGTAGTAGTAGTGTGACAGTAGTAGTAGTATGACAATAGTAGTAGTGAGATAGTAGTAGTAGTGTGACAGTTGTAGTAGTATGATAGTAGTAGCAGTAGTGTGACAATAGTAGTAGTGTGACAGTTGTATTAGTATGATAGTAGAAGTAGTATGATAGTAGTAGTAGTGTGATAGTAGTAGTAGTATGATAGTAGTAGTAGTATGATAGTAGTAGTAGTATGATAGTATTAGTAGTGTAATAGTAGTAGTAGTGTAAAAGTAGTCAAGATATTTGAATATTAGCGGGTAGTGTGGTGTGGGTGGAGATGTTATTGATCAGTGTTGGAGGTGGTCTCTGGTGGTGGCTGGTGGAACAATCCATCACAACATTCCACTGGAGGGAGGCTGCCTGTCTATCTGCTACCTCACACACACCATTCCCTTCCTCCCTCCCTCCTGTCACTCCCTCAAGACACTCACAGCTGCTGATAAGCTTTAAAGCTGTCCCAGCTCTACTGTAAGCTGCAGCTCTACATATATCTGCTGAAACTCTACCTCTTACAATGGCTGTAAGTCTGGTAATTTACCTATTCCTTACCTATCTTTAATTACCTATTTGTAGCTACAGGAGCACGGTTATGGACCTGTAGGTAGCTCTACTACTGCTATGAGGTGGTTGGAGATGTGGGGAATGAGGCTTCTAGCAGTGAGGTGCAGTCTGTCTCTCACTGTGAGGAGGCTGTAGGTGGGGTGGTAGCAACGGCTACCAGCAGTGAGGTGAAGGCCAGCACCTGCTACAAGTGGCGAGTTGTTCACAGTAATGGGAGGCGCATCAGAGTAAGGAAAGTTAAGAGTGCAGATCTGAAGGTAGGAAATCGCTTCTCTGTTCTCCAGGATGAATGTACTTCAGTGGCCAGTGAAGGTAAGGGTACTACTGCCCCTGCTAATGAAGGTAAGCGCATTCTTGTGGTTGGTGACTCTCAGGTAAGATATGTTGATCGTGCTTTTTGTAATAGGAATAAGAAGATGAGAGATAGAGTGTGCTTCCCTGGAGCTGGTGTTGGGGACATTGTCAACAGACTGGATAATATCATGTCAGGTAATGGGAACAAGCCCATTATCTGTCTCAGTGCTGGTGGAAATAAATATTGGGAAGGGTAGGAGAGAAGAGCTGCTAGATAAGTACGGGTCAGCTATAGATTTCATTAAGTCTAAGGGAGGGATCCCAATCATATGTAGCATCTTGCCTAGAAGGGGAGTAGGAAATGAATGGTTGTCTAGGGCAATTGGTGTAAATTGCTGGCTAGACAGATACTGCAAGGAACTTGCAATCCCATTCATTGACAACTGGAACAACTTTTATGGCAAACATGATATGTATGCAAGGGATGGGGTTCATCTCTCTGGGGCAGGGGTGGTAGCACTTGCAGACTCGATTGAGAAGGCCATTGGTGAAATGCCTATGATTTTAAATGATGGAAGATAGAGGTATGGGTGTGTGTGGGAAACAAGCAGGTTGCAACACTAGGGTTGGAAACAGTAAATGTATAAAAGGCATTCAGCATGAAGTTATAAATAAAGACAATAGAACAGGTCAGCAAACAAAGGGGGACAGCAGAGGGCAGCAAGGGACTAGCTCCCTTAAGGATTACTATACTAATAGCAGGAGTGTTAGAAATAAGATAGATGAGCTAAGATTAATTGCAAGTGCAGGAAACATAGATATTATTGCTATAACAGAGACCTGGCTCAATCTGAAAGATAGAGAGATGCCCTCTGAATGTCACATACAAGGCTATAAATTATTCCACACTGACAGGGTCAACAGGAAAGGTGGTGGAGTAGCGATGTATGTCAGAGACAATTTAAATTGTTGTGTTAGACAAGATATTAAATTAGAAGCGTCAGCCACTGAATCTGTTTGGTTACAGCTTCTCGAGGGCCGAGAAAAACTAATTTTGGGTGTGATTTACAGGGCCCCAAATCTTGATAGGGAGTGCAGTAAACTTCTATGGGACGAAATTCGTAAGGCATCTACATACGAAAATGTTGTGCTAATGGGAGATTTCAACTATAGACAGATTGACTGGAGCAATTTGACAGGAAATTTAGAGTCGGGTGACTTTCTTGATACGATCCAGGATTGTTTTTTAAAACAGTTTGTGACAGAGCCAACTAGGGGAAATAACCTCCTTGACTTGGTTCTTGCCAGTAGGGAAACACTAATTAATAATCTTGAGGTTAATGATGAGCTTGGGGAGAGTGATCACAAATCACTCAGTTTTAACATAGCATGGAATTCCCCTAATAATGGCAATCAAGTCTCCGTCCCTGACTTTCGCTTGGCTGATTTCATAGGACTGAAAAATTACTTAGGGGGGCTGAACTGGAATGACCTGACTAGGGGTCAGGTAGGTGGTGATGGTTGCCGATATGATGCTTTCCAGGGCATAGTTCTAGCTGCTCAGTCAAATTATGTTCCAAATAGGGAAATCAGATCAAACAAAAATGATCCTAAATGGATGAACAATAGATTAAAATATCTGATTGGTCAAAAGAGAGGCATATATAGGCAAATCAAAGAGGAGAGGGCAATTAAGAAATCGATATATTCAGTTAAAGAGAGAAATAAAAAAGGGAATTAGAAAAGCAAATAGAGATTATGAGGTTAAAGTTGCAAGAGAATCGAAGACTAACCCAAAAGGATTCTTTCAGGTATACAGAAGTAAGATCAGGGACAAGATAGGCCCACTCAAAAGTTCCTCGGGTCAGCTCACTGACAGTGATAAGGAAATGTGTAGAATTTTTAACACATACTTCCTCTCATTTTTTTACACAGGAGGATACCAGCGATATTCCAGTAATGATAAATTATGTAGAACAGGACGATAATAAACTGTGCACTATTGGGTCACAAGTGACATGGTCCTTAGGCAAATGATAAATTAAAACCTAAAAATCCCCAGGCCCTGATGAACTGTATGCAAGGGTTCTAAAGGAATGTAAAGAGGAGCTTAGCACACCTTTGGCTAATCTTTTCACATATCACTACAAACTGGCATGGTGCCAGATAAGTGGAAAATGGCAAATGTGATAACCTATTTCAAAACAGGTGACAGGTCCTTAGCTTCGAACTATAGACCAATAAGCCTAACCTCCATAGTGGGAAAAATTTATGGAATCAATAATTGCCGAGGCAGTTCGTAGCCACCTTGAAAAGCATAAATTAATCAACGAATCTCAGCATGGTTTTACAAAGGGGCGTTCCTGCCTTACGAATTTATTAACTTTTTTCACTAAGGTATTTGAGGAGGTAGATCATGGTAATGAAATGATAATGTGTATATGGACTTCAGTAAGGCTTTTGACAGGGTCCCACATCAGAGACTATTGAGGAAAATTAAAGCACATGGAATAGGAGGAGAAATTTTTTCCTGGATAGAGGCATGGTTGACAAATAGGGAGCAGAGAGTTTGCATAAATGGGGAGAAATCAGAGTGGGGAAGCGTCACGAGCGGTGTGTTCACAGGGGTCAGTGTTGGGCCCCCTGCTGTTCACAATCTACATAAACGACATAGATGAGGGCATAAAGAGCGACATCGGCAAGTTTGCCGATGACACCAAAAAAAGGCCGTCGAATTCATTCTGACGAGGACATTCGAGCACTCCAGGAGGATTTGAATAGACTGATGCAGTGGGTCGGAGAAGTGGCAGATGCAGTTTAATATAGACAAATGCAAAGTTCTAAATGTTGGACAGGACAATAACCATGCCACATATAAACTAAATAATGTAGATCTTAATATTACGGATTGCGAAAAAGATTTAGGAGTTCTGGTTAGCAGTAATCTGAAACCAAGACAACAGTGCATAAGTGTTCGCAATAAAGCTAATAGAATCCTTGGCTTCATATCAAGAAGCATAAATAATAGGAGTCCTCAGGTTGTTCTTCAACTCTATACATCCTTGGTTAGGCCTCATTTAGATTATGCTGCACAGTTTTGGTCACCGTATTACAGAATGGATATAAATTCTCTGGAAAATGTACAAAGGAGGATGACAAAGATGATCCCATGTATCAGAAACCTTCCCTATGAGGATAGACTAAGGGCCCTGAAACTGCACTCTCTAGAAAGACGTAGAATTAGGGGGGATATGATTGAGGTTTATAAGTGGAAGACAGGAATAAATAAAGGGGATGTAAATAGTGTGCTGAAAATGTCTAGCCTAGACAGGACTCGCAGCAATGGTTTTAAGTTGGAAAAATTCAGATTCAGGAGGGATATAGGAAAGTACTGGTTTGGTAATAGAGTTGTGGATGAGTGGAACAAACTCCCAAGTACCGTTATAGAGGCCAGAACGTTGTGTAGCTTTAAAAATAGGTTGGATAAATACATGAGTAGATGTGGGTGGGTGTGAGTTGGACCTGATAGCTTGTGCTAACAGGTCGGTTGCCGTGTTCCTCCCTTAAGTCAATGTGACCTGACCTGACTAGGTTGGGTGCATTGGCTTAAGCCGGTAGGGACTTGGACCTGCCTCGCATGGGCCAGTAGGCCTTCTGCAGTGTTCCTTCGTTCTTATGTTCTTATGTTCTTAATATAGGATTAGTTGATATTATTGACATAGTTTATTGGAAAGTTTATAGGAGCCCCTGGTTATACAGAACATTTTGGACAGCCTTAAAATAAACTTACAACTATTACATTGTTACTTGACTTACAAGCATGATAAAGTATGTAATATTTGACATTAACACTTTGGTTTATGATTGATATTTTTGGATTTTTCTGTGAAACATTATATTGTGTTTAGTGGTTATTTCAGATGTTCAGATAGTTACAAATACTGATATATATTTCAGTACTACAGTAGCAGATATACAGTAATCTGAAGCCCCATAGGATGCACATTTTGAGCAAAACGTAAACTATACTGTACTTAAAATTTACATGGTTTTATTTTTTCTTTTTATTTTTTCTTTAAGGGTCTGATATGCAATATCAGTAAGAACTGATAAAACAGATACAAGTTCAAATTAATTCATAAAGTACGACAAATACATAGCTCTTTCTGATTTAACGCATAAGTTGATAATAATAATAATGACCGTAATAATAATAATAATAATATTTTCCTTTACTTAGACCTTCCATACCCTTAGATTGAACCTCAGTGACCTGTGTTACCCATAGTCTTCTGTATGACCTGTATGGGTTAAGTGCTCCCCCATGACTGTAATAATTAAGTGCCTTGTGAGTGAAAGTCACTTCATCCATGGAATATGAGCTTTTCTTCCCTTGACTCAAACTGATTACCTCCTGTTACCCAGGTGCTACATGACCCACATAAATTTAGTATTTTTCCAGAATAGTGCTGCTCTTTTGCACTTTTCACATTTGGAAATTGTTACATTTTTTATAGAAATCATAGTACCCCATACACTTGAGTTGGCAGAACAAGAAACTGGGAACGCTTATGAATTATATAGTTATATGGCAGTCCCCCCTGCATCTGTGGGTTAGGTTAGGTTAGGTAAGGTTCGTCGGGTCACAGGACAAGTGTTTCCTGATGTTGGTCTTAGTTAGATGATGACCCACCGTTGGAGCTTTTGGTCATCTTACCGAGGCCTTCCGCTGGCTAACCAGTCCACCCCCTTTAAAAATTAGGGTTTAAAGTAGATATGTATCTGTGGGGGATATGTTCCAAGACCTACCGTGGTTGCCCAAAACTGTGAATAGTAGTGAACACTATATATGTATGTTGTTTTTTGTTTACATACATACCCATGATAAAGTTTAATTGATAAATTATGCACAATGAGTCAAGAATTAGCACTTTTTCACTGATAGGAAGCACTTCATGGCTACTCTTAGGCCTTGAGCAACTGCCACCATCCCTACTTTTGTATTTTGATGACATTATTAAGGAAAATTGAGTTATTTTTGGACTACTGTTAACCGTGGATAGCTGAATCCATGGAAACCAAATCTATGGATATGGGGGTTCTGCAGTAATTGTAAAGCATGTGTAAGATAGTGATAATTTTCTACTTAATGACTTTATTTCTATTATTAACTCCATAGTATTAACCCTTAAACTACCAAAGGTCTAAAGTAAATGTGCTCTCAATGCCAGTGATTTAGAAAAAAATTATTTTAGCTTGCCAAAAATATTCCCCTGACTTTAAAAGTGTAATAAGAGAAGAATGAGTGAAATCAAATTATTACTTATCGAGATACGAAGGTTTCAAGGTGATGCTGGTGGCCATTTTATGGCAACGTTTGCTTGCTGCATAATAATAATAATAATAATAATAATAATAATAATAATAATAATAATAATAATAATAATAATAATATCTTTATTTCTAAAAGTACATGGTATACAGGCCAAACTGACATAATGACATATTACATAGAAAGCCACTTGTTATGCAGAGCATTTTGGGCAAATTAGGTCAGTTGTTCCCCAGGATGCAACCCACACCAGTAGACTAACACTTAGGTACCCATTTTACCGATGGGTGAACATAGACAACTGGTGTAATTAAACACACCTAATGTTTTCACCCTTGCAGGGAATCAAACCCAGATCCTCAGTGTGTGAAGCAAGAGCTTTTGCCACCGGCCATGGGCTGATGTGTTTTAACATTATTTTTTTTTTTACTATTTTTTTCAGTTTTCTAATTATTTTTCAGGGATCATACAATTTACAACTGTACAGTATCTATTTTCATATCATATTTCACTTGTATTTATTATTCAGTCAGACTAAACAAATGTGAACGAATGTAAATGGCTTTTATTTTCTTCCACAATGCTCTCCATACGTGATTTTTTTTTATACTGTGCACATCTATAGTGCAGACCTGTTTTCCCTGATGTAGTGCTAACCAGGCCAATCAGAACACCCTAGAATTTTGTCATAAATTTATGTTGACTGCATTTTCCTAGTTGGATGTAAATTTGTCATCACTAGCTTGAGTGTTACTAACCCAAGATAACAAGAAAATCAGGCTAAAGTTTATGAATACTGTACTACTAGGCAAAACTTGGGGATTGGTTTACATTCAGAAATACATACATGCTTCTGATACACACCACAAAATAAGTATTTCTTGTGGAAATTGTTATACTGGGAGATATTAGCAAAAATAGTACATTTAGTTTGGTTGCACAGCACATTGGGCCACTCAACTCATAATGTTTAGTAGTGCCACAGGCCTGGCTGAATGTAAGCAAAGACACACCAGGACCGATAGTAGTCAGGTTATGTTATGTTAATTTATTTGTGCAGCACAGTAAAATTTGAACTGTAAATCAAAGCTTAATATTGTATAATACAATAATGTATTATACAATAACCAAAATCTGCTGAGTAGCAGTCATATACTTTTACCAAAAATCAAACAGTGTGGTTGATACCCATTGGGTTTCTTGTTTTAGGTCTTCTCCCAGGATGCAACCCACAATTAATTAACTCCCAGGTATCTGTGTACTGCTAGGTAACACAGACAGCAGGTGAGAGGAGACTTGTTTATATGTCTCTTCTCTTTTAGGGTTTGACCTGAATCCTTTTAGATATGAGCCGAGAGTGTTACCACTGCACTTTGTATTTAGAGACTCCAATGGAAATAAGTGACTGATTATTTTTGGATCATCCTAGGTAATTTACACCTATGTTACTATGTATGATAATTGTACTTCTGTGTGTACCTGTACCTAAATAAACTTCCTTTAGGGTTATTAACCTCAGAGGGGTTAATAACACAAGATTTTTTTGCCTAGTTTTATTTTATCTGGTGGAACAGATATGGAGCTAGTGCTGCAGTTTCAAGGCAATCAGTAAATGAAATGAAGTAGATGAAGAGATTCAAGAGGCATAGTTGATGCAAAGTTTCAATAACTGGTATGATAGGGCCTTAGAGGTCAGTGATCAATATAGCTGGCTGTTAGAATTCCACAGCTGTATTTGAGCAGATTAGCCACATGTAGAATGGGAAGCCATATTTGTTGTTTGCTGGTTTTGTTTTGCAAAACTTGCTCAAGTTGTTCCTCAGACAGCATCAACTAGGCCTTCCTCTATATATCTTTTATATTTTAAATACTGTATAAGGCTTGAGACATTTGCTAAGGAATTTCATATCTTGTAACCTCAAAGTAGGTACTAGACCTTCACCATAATGCTATGGTGTGTTAAGAACTTATTACTAATATATTTTCAGTAAGCACTGAAAAGATATACACAGAGGGAAAAAATAAAAAAAATCAAGATAATGTCAAATTTAGAAAAAGACTGAATAAGCATCAGTACAAATACTGTTTCTGTAAGGCAAACCATATCTTACATAATGGTGCTTTTTTAGTGAGTTTTTATTTACTCCCTTCAGTGGGGTGCCTTGATGCTGGTGAAGGTCTCTTGGTCCAAGGAATTAGTGGCACCCTCTTATTCCTTGCATCAGATTTGATTGCCAGACATTCTTCAGGTGCTGTATGGCTCCTCCCCATAATATATTAATAATTAAAACTTCTGAATTTTTCACCCTGTTACTCAAGCTTTGTTGAATACATGTATATATCATACAGTAATGTACACCTGTACTACTGTGCTTTGACTTAGACACAAAGAACTGTATATAACTTTGCTGGTCTAATTTGAATTGTATGCTTTTAAGATGTTCTCAATATTATTGCTTTCAGAATTTGAATATAGCACAGTATATTAGTGTTTTATTTAAAATTATACGTTTTTGAGATACTGTAGTCTGCTTATGTCTTCTCTTTCAATGTACCGGCCATATCCCACCAAGGTGGGGTGGCCCAAAAGGAAAAACGAAAGTCTCTCCTTTTACATTTAGTAACAGCATACACAGGAGAAGGGGTTACTAGCCCCTTGCTCCTGGCATTTTAGTCTCCTCTTACGACACGCATGGCTTCTGGAGAAAGAATTCTGTTCCACTTCCCCATTGTATTGTATTGTACATAAATACTTATTGTATATTATCATTTATGTCTTTTTTTTTTTTCTTCTTTTTTTTAGCCTGACAAAGACAGAGAAAGTGCTCTGAAGGACAGAGAAAATGTCCGAGTGGTGGTACGAGTTCGTCCTTTGAGTGAAAAGGAAATTCATGCCAACTACAAAAGTATGGTGGAATGTGATGATCTCAACTGCTCAATCTTGGTCACTAACCCAGATGCTCAGGCTGGGGAGCCCCCCAAGGTGTTCACCTTTGACTCAGTCTTTGGCCAAGATTCAAAACAGGTGGGAGGCTGTTTGTAAAGATTCTTATACGTATTTGCATTTTTGATGTCACTTTTTAAAATTACACTGATTGACAGTTGATGATGTTTCAGAGTATGGGTGTTAACTTTTGGTTGGTATTGAGCATTGCTAAAGTGAGGGTTACTTGTTATAGTGTAGTACTATATCTGGTTTTGCAGGTGCAGCAAGAATGTTTGCTTGTGATGCATCTATCCTGCTCTAAGCAGAGGATTGAACCTCAGTCACTACTTGTGCTGAATGACCCAGAGGGGTTTAGGTCTCCACATCAATTAAAAGTACCACAAAGATTTATACAATATGGCAGAGCATTAAAAATTATTTAAGATTGTCTGGGTTGTTATAGAAGAGCTATGCTCCTGGTGCTACTAGCAATATTGCAGTCTAGAGAGAACAGGTGACTACAAGAATCATCATTGGCTGTGCATCTCTAGTTTTGAGTGTTCTAGTTGTCTAGCCAATCATTTTCCTTGCCTTTGCAATAATAACATGATCCTTGAATGTGAGAGCCTTTGACATTGCCACTTGCACATATCTCATATTGAACTTCTGCTCTGTGGAATGATTTGAGATTGTCTTGTACACCATCTCAGTCTTAATTCTTCAGTTTTTTTTCTAGCAGAGTAACTGAAATTTGTTGCCAGTGGTCCACTGGAAGACTTGGTATATATCAGTTTGAGATTTGGCATGTTCTTGATGGATGACACACTCATACAGGTTTTAGTATCATCTGCAGAAGATAATACGATGCTATGATTTATGTCTGTTAAAGGTTTTTCACTGGCATGATTGTTGGTCTTTAAATTAATTGTAGGCTAATAGGTAAATACTGTATTACAAACCTCTTACAGCAGTATTCACCTATTTTTTCTTTCCTGGGTGTTTCTTAATAGTTTAATTCCTGCAATACTGTACAGATACATATATTGTTTTTAATTTAGGAAGCCTAGTCTAAAACCAGTCCTTGGGGATGGTTAACCCTGGAATCATTAACTGATAGTCCCACATTCATCTTGTAAAATTCTTCTCTTCTGTGAGTTGTTAAATGTTGGGTTGTATGTGTTATGGAATTTGAATTTTTAATATTTACTTTAATTTCAATAAATTCTGTTTTAAAAAGGTTTCTTCTTCAGATTATAGCTTATGTAATTTGAAGTTCTTGTTTCCCAGTATTGCTACTTCATCTTACTTCTGATGTCTGAATTTCAGTTTTCCTTAAATGTTACCTTGTTTAATTGATGCTATTTGATTTTATTGTGACTTGCAATACTTTTCAGTACTTTACAGTGTCTTTTTAATTCTCCTGCCCTTTCATTGCTTATTAATGTTTTTTACATATGGGAACTATTTTTGGACACTTACAGAATAAAGAGAATTAAAGTGATTATCAAATGGTATACAATACCGACAGGTTGGTAGATAAGACACATAAGCAATATTTAGGCAACTTTATTCTGAAACGTTTCACCTACACAATAGGCTTCTTCAGTCGAGTACAGAAAGTAGGCAGGAGCAGTAGAGATGTGAAGACGATGTAATCAGTCCATCACCCTTGAAGTCGTAGATTTGAGGTTGTCAGTCCCTCAGCCTGGAGAAGTTCTGTTCCAAAATCTGGAACTAACTGAAGATCAAGCAACAGTGTTGAGACTTAACCCTTAAATGGTCCAAACGTATATATACGTTTTTTCAACATCTGAAAGTATGTAAAAAATGTAGATCTTCTTTTTTGTTTTACATTTGAAAACATGTAAAAAAAACTTTTATCTACATTTTTTTTTTTGTTATATTTGAAAATATGTAAAAAAAAGTAGATCTACTTTTGTAGCACTACGAATTTGAACGTCAATCTCTTTGGACTGTTTAAGGGTTAAATACTGTCAGAAGGAGAGGTGCAGAGTAGTAGTAGTGAGAATGTAGCCACTGGGAGGTCATGTCCCTGAGGGACTGACAACCTCAAATCTACGACTTCAAGGGTGATGGACTGATTACATCGTCTTCACATCTCTACTGCTCCTGCCTACTTTCTGTACTCAACTGAAGAAGCCTACTGTGTAGGCAAAATGTTTTGGAATAAAGTTACCTAAATGTTGCCCATGTGTCTTATCTACCAAAGAGAATTAAATCTCACACTGTAAGCTATTTTAGATTTTTACTCTTTAAATATTAAGCTTAAGGGGTAAGTAGCTATAATATTTTAGATTTTTGGTTTATTAGGTTTATTGAACGATTTTCTAACCATTACTGCTAAAGCTCATGTTATCATCATCTTTCTGAGCTAGTTTGATAATATTTTTTGAATTGTGTGAGGTCAGTCATCGTCTTTTGATTTTGATTTTAAATGCATGCATGTGGTTAGCAACTTGGCTGATCCTGTAGCGGTATTTTACATATTGGGATGTGGAACATCTTTTATTGTTACTCATGTTTGTCTGTTAACATGAAGTAAACTCTCTATTTAATAATGGACTAATTGGGGGTAGCAGGTGGCCAGTAGTGGCAATTGTGGTGGATAAAGAAAGGATTGCTTTGCCCTGATTATAGCAATGAACATTTCTGTGAACACCAACAAACTTTGTCCATGATTTCCAGATCAGTTGACTCCATTTAACAGACTTCAAATATATGAACAGTTTACTGTAATTCAATTCAACAGTTGTTATTTTGTGTGCAAATCTCTAGTTTACAGAGATTATATTTTCCATATTTTGTTATTTTGAGTTATAGTACTCTATGAACCTGTTTATTTTCCAGGTTGATGTATATAATTTAGCGGCACGCCCCATTGTAGAAAATGTTCTTGAGGGATATAATGGGACTATATTTGCTTATGGACAGACAGGTACTGGCAAAACTTACACGATGGAGGGAGTCAGATCAGTCTCTGAGCTCAAAGGAATCATCCCAAATTCATTTGCTCATATATTTGGGCATATAGCAAAAGCTGAAGAGGATAAAAAGTAAGATTATTTATAATAACCTTTTCATGTGGTTCTTTGGTAATATACAGGGCAGCGGTTTTCCTGTACAGTCTCTAGGTTCCAAAAATTTGGCACTTCGTCAGTATTATTGTTTCTTCCATACTGTTGCATTTGCTCTGTATCTTATTATTTAATTTCATATGTTGCTCATGAGGGTGGGCTAGTGTGTATTGTGGAGGATGGGGGGTGGGTTAATAATGTAGTCGGATTGTCTTTTGATTTGATTTTTAGACCTAGTTAAATTTTAGTGGGTTTTATATTCATAATGGATAATTTGCACTTATGGGTCTTATATTATTATATAAATGATTTATAAATACTGTAGAGTGGTTCAGTGTAATTATGTCATCCTCTTTAATTTTGTTGTTTATTAAACCTTTTTTCTATTTAGGTTTTTAGTATCCTGTCATATTTTGTACCAAATATTTGCCAAGCTTAAAAATGATATATGGTACACATCGGCCATCACTAATCCGGTTCCATCAGTAATCTGGAACTAATTTTGGCTAGCATAATTTCAAATTTCTGGGGTTACCACACCAACCGGCCACTACTGTTTAGTGGTGCTACTTGCTGCATAAGTCATTCCAGTTTCCTTTTCTCCATTTATTGTTATAACCTGCTCACTTTTAGCCCTAGCCATGGTTCTAATGAATAAAAGAAATGCTTCTCATTGTGTAAAGCACATACACTGTACATTGTTCATAAAAGATAAGGTGGCTTTTAAGCTGCTGTTGGTTGCCATGAGCTCAGATAAGCTGTGACTGGGCCTACATGTGAGAGAATAGGTCTGTGTGGTAAGTGTGCACTATATAAAAAAAAATCCTGCAGTACGCAGTGCATAATGAGAAAAATGGCAACCATGCCTTTGGTGTAAAACAAGTGTCTGCAGTGTATTTTCATATGATTTTTATGATTTTATTCTCATTTTATTGGTCTCATTTGACAGAATGGAAGATTTATTGCAGAAATAGATATAAATTTGGTTGGTTTCACACCAGAAGGTACCTTAAAATTGAGCTCAAAGTAGCAGAAATGTTTTATTTTTGTCAGTGTTCAAGAGTAAACAAATGACGTCACCATCCAGTACGTGTCCAACTGGCAAGTCCAATACACAGTTATGAATGGGTTGACATTATTTATACAGTTATTACAATAATGCAGTATTCTGCATAACAGTAAATCTTCTATTTTTTGTCTGAACAGAGAAAATGTTATTTTAGTGCCAGGAATGTCTGCATTGTTTATTCTGGACCCTATTTTGAAATTGGCATCTCTTGAAATTTGTGTGAAATTGGCCAAATTACTGATTTCTGACAACTTTATTGGGTAGTTGAAATAGAGAAATAGGCAGTTTCTTGTACTCAATCTTTCTTCTTTATCTTTGAAGAGTTTCGAAAGTTTCACTACTCTTGGAACCTGGCTAGGGGCCAGGCTTTTCTGGTGCTTGCCTGGTCAACCAGGCTGTTGCTGCTGGAGATTTGCTGCCCCACATATCCATCACAGCCTGGTTGATCTGGCCCTTGGTGAAGATACTTGTCCAGTTTCCTCTTGAATGCTTCTACACTTGTTCCAGCCATGTTTCTGATATTTTCTGGTAAGATGTTGAATAGTCTGGGACCCTAGATGTTACAGTATTCCCTTTTTGTCCCCACTGCACCCCCTGCTCCTCACTGGGTTTATTTTGCACCTCTTCTCATATTTCTCACTCCAGTATGTTACGGCAGTGTGCCATAACATACTGGAGTGTTATGGCAGTGTGCCCTTGAGTACTTTCCAGGTATATATTAGCATGTATCTCTCTCTCCTCCTCTCCAATGAGTACATGTTTAAAACTTGAAGGCGTTCCCTGTAATTTATGTGCTTTACTCACTCAGTGTGAGCCATAAATGATCGCTGTATTTTTTCTAGCTCTGATATTTCTCTTGCTTTGAACAAGACTGTCAGCACTGAACAGTATTCTAAATGAGGGAGGACTAGCGATTTGAAGAGTGTCACCATCGGCATTATTTCCCCTGTTTTGAAAGTTCTTAATACCCACCCCGTCATCTTCCTGGCTGTCGTGATCTTTGTCTTGTTATGGTCTTTAAAAGAAAGGTCAGCTGACATAATTATTCCCAAGTTTTTTACGTGTTCCTTTCATTCTGTTTGGTGACCCTCTTGAGTTTTGTGTATGGTGTTCCTATGAGTTCTTCATTCTTTCCATACTTAAGCAGCTGGAACTTATCACCATTGAACGTCATGTTGTTCTCCACTGCCCACTGGAAGACCCTGCTGATGTCTTCCTGTAATTTTCAGTGTCCTCTACTGTAGTGATTTTCATGTTTATTTTAGTGTCATCTGCAAATAATAATACAAGAGTGTGATGGGTGTTTTTATCTATGTCTGCTTTGAGGATGAGAAACAACAGAGGTGCCAGGACAGTGCCTTGGGGCACTGAGCTTTTGACCTCGCTGATGCTGGATCTTGCTGTTTACTACTACTTTGTGTTGTGTGTGTTAGGAACCCGAAAATCCACCTGCCTACCTTCCCTGTAATGCCCATGGCCCTCATTTTGTGCACAGTCACTCCATGATCACATTTGTCAAATGCCTTTGCAAAATCTATGTAAACCACATCTGTGTTTTGGTCGTCTTCCAACGCTTCTGTAATAATTGTTCAGCGGCTGTGACAGGCATGATTGTCCTGCTCTAAAACCATGCTAGTTCAAACGTGGTGCTCTCGCGTTGTTTCCATTGTGGATGTGCATATCCTTAAGGTGGTTGTAGCTTCTGGAGCACGTCACTCGCGTTATTTACACCAGCACTTTTTTTTTTTTTTTTAACAAGTCGGCCATCTCCCACTGAGGCAGGATGACCCAAAAAGAAAGAAAATCCCCAAAAAGAAAATACTTTCATCATCATTCAAAACTTTCACCTCACTCACACATAATCACTGTTTTTGCAGAGGTGCCCAGAGTACAACAGTTTAGAAGCATATACATATAAAGACACATAACATATCCCTCCAAACTGCCAATATCCAGAACCCCTCCTTTAGAGTGCAAGCATTGTACTTCCCATTTCCAGGACTCAAGTCTGGCTATATAAAAATAACCGGTTTCCCTGAATCCCTTCACTAAATATTACCTTGCTCACACTCCAACAGCTCATCAAGTCCCCAATACCATTCGTCTCCATTCACTCCTAACGAACACGCTCACGCACGCCTGCTAGAAGTTCAAGCCCCTCGCCCACAAAACCTCCCTTACCCCTTCCAACCTTTTCAAGGACGACCCCTACCCCACCTTCCTTCCCCTACAGATTTATACGCTCTCCATGTTATTCTACTTTGATCCATTCTCTAAATGACCAAACCACCTCAACAACCCCTCTTCAGCCCTCTGACTAATACTTTTATTAACTCCATACCTTCTCCTAATTTCCACACTCCGAATTTTCTGCATAATATTTACACCACACATTGCCCTTAGACAGGACATCTCCACTGCCTCCAACCGCCTCCTCGCTGCTGCATTTACAACCCAAGCTTCACACCCATATAAGAGTGTTGGTACTACTATACTTTCATTACATTATTTCATTACATTATTTACATTCCCTTTATTTATTCTCGTTTTTCATTTATACACCTCAGTCATATCCTCCCCTAATTCTACGCCTTTCTAGAGTGCAGATTCAGGACCCTCGGTCTATCCTCGTAGGAAAGATTTCTGATACATGGGATCATATTTGTCATGCCCCTTTATACGTTTTCAAGCACATTTATATCCTTTCTGTAATACAGAGACCAGAACTGTGGAGCATAATCTAAATGAGGCTTAACCAACGATATATAGAGTTGAAGAATAACCTGCAAGTTCCTGTCAGTTATGCTTCTTGATAAGAAGCCAAGAATTCTGGTTGGTTTATTTTGAATACTTACGCACTGTTGTCTTGGCATAGATTGCTGTTGACCAGAACTCCCAAATCTTTTTTGCAATCAGAGATATTAAGATCTACATTATTTAGTTTATAAATATCATGGTTATTTACTTTTCGAACATTCAGAACTTTGCATTTGTCTATGTTAAACTGCATCTGCCGCTTCACCGACCACTACACCAGTCTATTCAGATCTTCCTGGAGCACTTTAGTGTCCTCATCAGAATGAATTCGATGGCCTATTTAGGTGTCATCGGCAAACTTGCTTATGCTGTTATTTATACCCTCATCTATATTGTTTATGTAAATTGTGACAGAATAGAAGAAATACTAGCGAAATAGCTGTGAGTTTGGTAGACTGAAACAATGGAATGGGCCAAAATAGGGTGTAAAGTGGGTAAAATCGCGGATGCATAAATATTGCTGTAGGGTTAAGTGTATTTTAACCTAACCACTCAAATCTGGCACCCTACAGGTCCTGATGATGCCGGATTAGTGATGGTCAACCTGTATTATGAGTGGTTATTAAATAGTATAATGAAGATTATACTAGTTATTGTTGATATTAAATACAGTGGTACCTCGGGATACGTACAGCTCAAAACTCGAACAGTTATGTAAGTATTTTTGGGGGTCTGAAATGGATTAATCTAGTTTACATTATTTCTTATGGGAACAAATTCATTCGGTATCAGCACTCGAACAGCCTTCTGGAACGAATTAAGTTCGTATCTCGAGGTACCACTGTATTTTATTTGCCTTTTAGTTTCCATATTTTTAACACTGATAGACTTTTTTTTGGGTATGAGAAGAGGCTCAGCACATAAGAAATTACAAACTTGTGTGAGCTATGCTGAATTGATATACATTATTACACAATTCATTTATTATTCATGGTCCTGGTGTCTACTGATTCTCATCCTCATACCAGACACACAAAACACTAGTCACAGCTTTGTATTTTCTGCGATGACAGCAAATAAAGCATGAAAGTTGCCTTGGTAAAAGACAAAAAAAATAAATTGCAAGCAATTATCAATAAATTTAAGTCTTCCAGTGGGCAATAGAAAATAATACAATTTTCATTGGTGACAGATTCCAACTGCTCAGATATGGAAAGAATAAAGAAATCAAGAAGAGCACTGGATGAAAAACGTAGGATGACTCTCTCATAGAATGACAGGAACATGTAAATGACTTTGGCAGGTATAACAGTGTCAGATGACCTGTCATTTTCCTGCAGAGGCCAGAAAAATGACAGGGTAGGTAAAGAGAACTTTCAAAGCAAGAGAAATAATGCCACTGGTGACACTTTTCAAATCACTTTTCCCCTCTCTCTCTCTCTCTTTTTTTTTTTTTTTTTTTTGAAAAGGTTGAGATTGTTTATTGCTGCATAGAGCCAGTAAAACATCTAAACTATTGGGAATGCCTTAAAGTACTTGGAATGTAATTTCTGGAGCAAAGGAGAAGGATGCCTGATAATATATAAAATACATTTGAGGACCTAGTCCCAAAATCTACACTCTGCCATAACATACTGAAGTGAAAGATATAGGAGAAAGCGTAAAATAAATCCAGTGGAAAGTGTGGGCACCATGAACACAGTAATAAATTCTATATCAATATCTGTGGTTCAAGACTGCCACAGATGATAACAGAAATATTGCCAGACTAAGTGTAGAAGTTTTCGAGAAGAAACTTTATCACTACCTCCAAGTGCCAGATCAACCAGACAGTGGATGGGTATGTGGGCCAGTGGACTGCCAACAGCAACAGCCTGGTTGAACAGGCAACAAAATGCTTGACCCCTGGTTGGGCTGTAAGGGTAGGAAAACTCATGAAACCAGTCACAAATCTTCTGTCAACAGACCGGCCATATCCCACCAAGGCAGGGTGGCCCAAAAAGAAAAACAAAAGTTTCCCTTTTTAAATTTAGTAATTCTTCTTCTTTCAACACACCGGCCGTATCCCACCGAGGTGGGGTGGCCCAAAAGGAAAAACCAAAGTTTCTCCTTTCAAATTTAGTAATATATACAGGAGAAGGGGTTACTAGCCCCTTGCTCCCGGCATTTTAGTTGCCTCTTACAACACGCATGGCTTACGGAGGAAGAATTCTGTTCCACTTTCCCATGGAGATAAGAGGAAATAAACAAGAACTAGAAAGAAAATAGAAGAAAACCCAGAGGGGTGTGTATATATATACTTGTACATGCATGTGTAGTGTGACCTAAGTGTAAGTAGAAGTAGCAAGACATACCTGAAACCTTGCATGTTTATGAGACAGAAAAAAGACACCAGCAATCTTACCATTGTGTAAAACAATTACAGGCTTCTGTTTTACACTCGACAGGACATACACTGGGTGAGACATACACATACCTGTATTAATTTTTGGCCAAACTCTTTTTTTTTTAAATTTATGATGGAGGCCCTCGCTAATCGGTTTTCCTTCAGTGTTGCAATACTGTTTGAGTCTAGACTTTAGAGTAACCTGCAGACATCCTCATTCACTCTGAATGTGATTATCCATTATTTTTGGTTAAGTCCAGAATTTATGAGTGATTTCCCTCCCCAGATTTTTAGTACGTGTATCTTACTTGGAAATATACAATGAAGAGGTTCGTGACCTTCTTCGACAAGATCAGTCTGTGCGCTTAGAAGTAAAAGAGAGACCTGATGTGGGTGTTTACGTAAAGGATCTTCTCACCCATGTTGTACATAATGCTGATGAGATGGACAAAATCATGACTCTGGGGAATAAAAATCGTAAGTGGTGTGAATTGGGTTTGTTCTGTATTTGCACTGTTCTATACTCTTAGACTGAAAGATGAAACACAGGTGAGAGAAAGCAGTACATTTCAGCCTCAGCCGGAGACTCTCCAGCAGACGGTTAGATTAGAAATTTATTTGAAGAGTACCATATTAAAAGATGCAAAGTAGTTCATATACAAGAAGTGTTTGGTAAAAAAGATATTGTTTACCTCCAAAAATCATGAGTAGTGAAATTCATAAACGAGTTCTAGAAGTTTTTTTTTTTCAACAAACCGGCCTTATCCCACCAAGTTTTTAAAGTACAGGTTAGGTTAGGTTTCAGGCTACCGCCGCAAAGCAGACATTACCGGAAAGCAGAACGCCATTTTTTCCATTTATAATTGCATATAAATTCCAGATAACAAGTTTACACTAACATATATTAAGTTAGCAATAGAACTAGGCATTAAAAAAAAGAAAAAGTAAAATACACAGACAGTACACTCATTATTTACCTCAAAATATTTGTAGTCTTAATGTAGGGCAAAAGGTGAGTAGTACAGTGGAACCATCGTTTTCGTATGCCCTAGTTTTTGTACGATTTGGTTTTCGACTTTTTTCGTCGAAATTTTGTCCCAGTTTTCGTACATCCACTCGGTTTTCATACAGTTGAAAATGGCCTGTACCAAACTCGCCCACCTGCCTGCGTGACTTGGCCACTTATTTCCCGGAATCGAGCGCCCACACAAAGCATCCCATGCATTTGTGACTCAGTCTGCCTTTGTTTCTCGTTGAGTGAGCATCACCCCAAGCGTTCATCTGAAACATTTCGCAATAATCCATCATTTTTTGTGCTTGTTTATTGAGTGTGACTGCTAAATAAGCCACCGTGGGGCCAAAGAAAGTTCTGAGTGCCAGCCCTTTGATAAAGAAGGTGAGAAACACAATAGAATTCAAGAAAGAACTTGTAGCAAAGTACGAAAGTGGTGTATGTGTGGCCGATCTCACCAGGATGTATGGGAAATCTACATCAACGATCAGTTCCATCCTGACGAAGAAAAAAGAAATCAAGGCAGCTGATGTTGCAAAAGGGGTAAATATATTTGGCCCGAGTGTGAAGAAATACCTCCTGGAAAATCAGTTGCCACTCAAGTGCTTCCTGGTAATGGACAGTGCTCCTGCTCATCCTCCAGGCTTGGAAGACCAATTGTTGGAGGAGTTTAGTTTTATCACAGTGAGGTTCTTGCCCCCTAGTACCACTCCTCTCATCCACCTCATTGACCAGCAGGTCATTTCAAACTTCAAAAAACCCTTCACCACAGCACTGTTTCATAGGTGCTTTGAAGTGACCTCGGATACTGAATTGACCCTAAGAGAGTTTTAGAGGAACCACTTCAATATCCTCAATTGCATAAGCCTTATAGATAAGGCTTGGCAGGGAGTGACTTCCAGGACGATGAACTCTACTTGGAGAAAATTGTGGCCAGAATGTGTCCTCGAGAAGGATTTTGAAGGATTTGAGGTTGACCCTGATGGCCCTATGCCTTATTGTTTTCTGTATGTAAAACTACAGTTATTCTCTATAAAATGTATTTTTTTGTTAATATTTATGGGTGTCTGGAATGGATTAATTGGATTTACATTATTTCTCATGGGAAATATTGCTTCAGTTTTCATACGATTTGGTTTTCGTCAGACTTTTTTGAATGGATTAATCATGAAAACTGAGCTTCCACTGTATTTACTGTAAGAAGTCAGGTGTGATAGGTATGGTAGCCCTCCTGGCCACCCCACCCACACATAATATACGTACTATGATGCTTAAAGTACCCTAGAGTGATAAAATGTGTATACAATACACTCATTACTTACCTTAAAATATTTGTAGTCTTAATGTAGGGTGAGAAGTGAGTAAGCGCAATGAAAAACAAATAAATGAGGGAGAGAGAATGAGTAGGGTGACAGAACCGCAGAGTACTTATGTAAATAAACACATCTGGTTATGGTTGTTACACGTTCATACAAACATCTTACGTTGTGTACAAGTTGTCTCCACAGTAGTACAGTAGAATAAATAAAGACCAACACTTCCATTGTCATGTAACATCATTTTTAGAAGGAATGATGCTCTGACAAATTATCATTATTATTATTATTACAAATTATTATTATTATAAATTATTATTATAAATTATTATTACAAATTATTATTATTATGATCATAATAAAAAAGAAGCACTAAACTCCCAAGGGTTGTGAGTAGCTATAGATAGAGTGAAGGCATATGAAAGGAATATTTTTCTACAGTTCAAGTAACTGGTGTTTTAGAGGAAACATAATTCTTCCGACACTCCTACAAACCGCTTTGTAAACAAATCTCATATTTATATCAGTTTTATACTGTGGGTGTATGTATCGTGTTTATATGTTACTTAGTGTGTTTATTATATAATTTAAAAAAAGATAGATTAATGGAAATGTCTATATTAATGTAATATACGACATTTCATGCGCCCAAGAGATTATATGGCATCAAGAAGACTCTTAGTGATTTTAATGTGTACCTGCACACCAGCACAGTGTGTAAGTATATTTAGGTATAGGTACACATAAGTATAATTATCAGCGTACATATAAAATGCACAATAACTTTAAAACACTTGAAATTTTGGAAAATTTCTAGACATAATAGAGAGATGTGCTCATGGAGAATGTAAACAAACTGGGTGGGGTGCTCTGTATTTGAAAGACCACTTGCTGTGTAGCAAGTTTTGGTCATAATTTGAAATTGCCATCTTGGCAGAATGCTGTATGGCAAAATGCCATAAAATGGGGCTCTACTGTATAGAATAATAATAGATATATGAATTACAGCAAAATATGTACCGTATAATAGAAAGAAGATATTTCAAAAATTAAATGAGAAAATTAAGCCAATCTGTAAAGTGTTGAAATTGTAGAAAATGGGCTAGAGATGAATGAAGTTTGTTAGTAAAGGATGACAGAATATTTATTGTTGGCAAGAGTGTTATTTAAAAGTAGTGCAATGAAATTTGTAATGTTGTCATAGGAGGGGTGTTAATGTTGCAGTTTTATAACTGTAGTGTAAGTGCACCTCTGGCAAGACAGTGATGGAGTGAATAATGATGAAAGGTTTTCTTTTTTGGGCCACCTTGCTTTAGTGGGAGAAGGCCAGTGTGTTAATAAAAATAAAAAAATTGTCATAGGTATGAGAGAAAATAAAAAATTCAGGGTTGACACTTTAAATAAGAGCAAAGGATTTATGAGTTAATTAAAGAGTACTTATGAAATATCATTTGAATTAATTTAAGGATTTTATGTGGTAGTATGGAGAGCTAGTCAGTATACTATTTTTGTCAATGTTTGCAAGCATGATCACTTTATTGAATTTGCTTTAATGATTTCTGCATCGCTTACTGGCTAACTATTACTGAAGTAAAACGAACTGAATCATTTGCAGGTGCAGTAGGGGCAACTAATATGAATGCTCACAGTTCTCGGTCACATGCAATATTTACCATCACAATTGAGTGTGCTGAAAGAGGATTAGATGGTCAGCAGCACTGGAGAGTGGGCAAACTACATTTAGTTGATCTGGCAGTGAGTGACCTATTATCTTACATTACATTTTAATATTTTTATAATCCAAATTTAAACATTTTAATGTGTCATCAGTGCCAATTTTTGTAGATTCCACACTGTAATAGTAGTTCTGAATTCAATAGAATGCAATTAATTGACTGGTGTAAAGATCAAGACACACATCAAAAATCTTTTATGTTGTTAGGGGGACTTAGGGTCAGGCAAGTTCTCTGTAATCATAGGAAGTATAGCAACACCACTATGCTGTAGAATGATATATATGATATCTACAACTAGATAGCACTGAGTTGAGGGACAAGTTGTAAAATGTGCATGACAGCTCTAATTTAAATGGAGAAACATTGGATAGTGGCATACCTAGGGAAATGGAAGGGGAAGTGGTTACTGCTACTATGCATATTTGGCACTTTTTTTGCCCTAGCCTTTTTAAGCTGCACTTATTGCAAAACTGTTCTTATTGTGTTTTCTCTTCAAATGCAAATATACATAATTATTGTAAAATTAAGCCTTAAAAAGTCTAACATGCATAAAAAATATCAAATGATTTAATTGGGTATACCAGGTGGTGTGTCTTTTTTGTGACCACTCTCTCTCACATTAGAACCTGGCTATGCCTCTGTTAATGAACATTAATAAACAGTTTTAAATGTGATTTGATGTTGCTGGTGAAACATCTAGTTTGTGTATCCTGTACCAGTCCTCTTGATGGTAGCATAAGAGCAAATGGATACAAAAAAAAACTAGGAACTAGTCCCCTCATTATAAACTCATTATTGAGAATTTATTCTAATATTTAAGGTATTACAGTTTCCATGATGTAAGTGTCTCGGTAGTCAATAGGCCTTTTTTTTCCATTCACCAGCACACCAGCACAGTGTGACCTAAAAGAAAAACAAAAACTTTTCTATTTACATTTGGTAATTTATGTAGAAGGGGTTACAAGCCCCTTATTATGACACGCATGGCTTATGGAGGAAGAATCAATAGGCCTCATATTCAATAAATCATTCTTAAAAGAAATTCAATTAATTTTGATTTCTCTGTTACTAATTAGTAGAGATGGCATAGTGTTCTTTGACAAGATCCTCATTGCCACAACAGATACTCATCATTACCTTAACCTGTTTGTAGGGTTCAGAACGTCAAAGTAAAACTGGAGCTACTGGTCAGAGATTAAAAGAAGCCAGCAAAATAAACTTATCCCTTTCAACCTTGGGGAATGTAATATCTGCTCTCGTGGATGGAAGGTCAACACATATTCCATATCGTAACTCCAAGCTCACCAGACTTCTCCAGGATTCATTAGGTGGAAACTCTAAAACTGTCATGGTGAGTGGAAAGAACTCTCACCCAGCCTTGATGCTGGGAATGGCTGTTGATATTTGAATTCTAGCTACTTTTCCCTTTCTTGGATCAAATCCAGTTACCTCTTATTTTCCAAGTGCCTCCTCATAAATGTACACTAATATTAATAATTTTAACTGTAAATGAGGGTCATTTTATGACATATTTTAATATTCATATAAGAAGTTAGAATATGCCTTTATGTACTATTGCACTCCATCAGGCAGTCTAGATGATAAGTGATGTTACTTGATTATAAATGAGGTTAGTTTAACCTTCAACCCTGGAGTGAAATGCCAGAATGTACAGAATATTTAGTTATGTCATTGTAATGGAGAGTAGCTGTTACACAAGTAGAAATATGTAATTATTTAAAAGGGCTGATTTGATAATGAATAATTTTTAATATTTTTAACTGACCCTGCTCAATTAGTGTGCTAATGTTGGGCCAGCCAGCTACAATTATGATGAGACAATCAGCACCCTCCGGTATGCCAATCGTGCTAAAAACATCTGCAACAAGGCCAAAATTAATGAGGATCCCAAGGATGCACTTCTCCGTAAACTTCAAGATGAGATCAAATCTTTAAGAGATCAGTTGGAAGGTAAAGTAAATATTTGTTTTGTGTATGTTGCATCCTGTAGATTAAAATACTTTTATAAATTACAGGCAGGTAAAAGTGTTATTACAGGTGTTCCTTGAGAAGAAACTAAAATGCCATGAGCAAGGGGCTAGTAATCCCTTCTGTATAAATTACTAAATTTAAAAAGAAAAACTTTTGTTTTTCGATTTAGGTCGCCCTGCCTTGGTGGGATATGGCCAGTGTGTTGAAGAAAAAAAAAAAAGGTGCTCCTCGACTTACGATAGGGTTATGTTCCGATGAACCCATCATGAGCTGAAAATATCGCAAGTCGAATGTGACTATGATATTCTAAATAAATATGTAAATGATTAATTGCTGTCACTGAAATTAATAAATAAGCAGATAATTACTGTAACTCAATACCAGTGTTGAAAAGTTAATAAATGAACACAAGTCATGGGCTTGCTGCCTTCATGTTGAGTAATTTTCTTAAGTTTCATCGAACCATCGTAAAGTTGCAATATCGCAAGTCGAACCATCATAAGTTGAGGAGCACCTGTATTCTTAATCTTTGCTCTATGTGGGTTTTCTTTGCACAGATTCTCAATTAGATGATACTTCACTTCTGTTAATAATTTTGTATGTGTGATATATAAATTTACTGAATTCAGTCAGTGCAGTTCACAAAGCTTATTTGAAGTTTGTCTTATGTAGAATTGAATTGCTGACAGCCTGATTTGAGCATAATACAACTGCCTTTGAATGCATTGATTGCATAAAGTAAGGAACCTCTATATGCTGGAGTTCTGTACAATATATAGCAACAAATTTCAGTTAATAGTAAAACCAATATATTGTCCTCTGCCCTAATGGTTTATTTTTGAGTCGAGGATTAATCCTTTCAGGGTTTCCGACGCACTAGTACGGCTTACGCACCAGGGTTATTGATGTAGTACTACTAGTACGTGTAAATTCTAGCGCCTTCAGATCTAGCGAGAGAAAGCTGGTAGACCTACATATGAAAGAATGTGTCTATGTGGTCAGTGTGCACAGTATAAAAAAAAATCCTGCAGCCCACAATGCACAATGAGGAAAAAAAAACTGTGTTTTTGGTTTAAAATGGCAACTTTGCACTGTATTTTCTTATGGTATTTATGGTTGTATTCTAGTTTTCCTGGTCTCATTTTATAGAATGGAAGACATGTTACAGAAATTGAGATGATTTGGATTGGTTTCACAATGAAAAGTACCTTGAAATTGAGCTCAGAATAGCAGAAATGTTCGATTTTTGCCAAAGTTCAAACGTAAACAAATCATGCCACGCATCAAATACACGTCAACTGGTGAGTCTAAAATTCTTTCACAAGTGCACTAATATTATTTATACCATTTCTACACTAATGCAGTAGTCTGCATAACAGTAAATCTTCTATTTTTTGTGAGAATAAAAATTCAAAGTGGAAAGCAAAAGAAATGTAAGAGGGGCCTGGGGACGTGACTAATGAACAGAGGAAATGTTATTTTAGTGCCAGGAATGCCTTTCTTGTTTATTCTGGACCCTATTTGAAAATTGGCATCTTTTGAAATTTGTGTGAAATTGGCAAAATTGCTAATTTCTGACCACTTACTGGATAGTTGAAATCGGTAAATGGGTAGTTTCTTGTATTCATTCAATAGGAAAAAATGGAGCTCTAGTGAAATAGTTATGATTTTTGTCGACTAGTACACTGGAATTGGCTGAAAATAGGGCTCAGAGTGGGTGAAATTGCCAATGCGTAAACATCGTCGAGACCGCTAACTTCACGAGAGCATAATTCTGTAAGTTTTCCATCAAATTTCATACTTTTGTTGTCATTATGATTGGGAGAAGATTCTCTATCTTTTCATAAGAAAAAATCATTTTTGTTTTTTCCGAAAAATTTTCGACCCTGAGAACAAGTTTAGGAGATGGCCTCTCGACCCTGAAAGGGTTAATGCAACCGATTGATATCTCAAACATAAATTATATACTTTCCTTTTTTTGTGAGTTCAGTTCAGATAAGTCGGTCGTCTCCCACCTAGGCAGGGTGACCCAAATAAGAAAGAAAATCCCTAAAAAGAAAATACTTTCATCATCATTCAACACTTTCACCACACTCACACATAATCACTGTTTTTGCAGAGGTGCTCAGAATACAACAGTTTAGAAGCATATACATATAAAGATACACAACATATCCCTCCAAACTGCCAATATCCCAAACCCCTCCTTTAAAGCACAGGCATTGTACTTCCCATTTCCAGGACTCGAGTCCGGCTATATAAGATTAACCGGTTTCCCTGAATCTCTTCACTCAGTATTGCCCTGCTCACACTCCAACAGCTTGTCAGGTCCCAAATACCATTCATCTCCACTCACTCCTATCTAACATGCTCATGCACGCTTGCTTCTAATTTAAAGAATTATTAATTTTGAAACAATTTCAAAGCTTGGAATTAAATTGAATGGCATTTTTCAGATGAAGAAGAAACTGATGACTCTGAAGAAGAAGAAATTGAAGGGGACGAGAAACCAAAAAAGAAGAAGAAGAAGCTGAAAGAGGAAGAGGTAACTTATGTAGCATACAAATGCAGTGATGTCATCAGTTTAACAGTTGCTTGAAATATTCTTGCTAAGATTTTATTTATGAAAACAGTTGGTGAATGTTAGTATTTTACAGTAATTAATAAAACTGTTGAGTCTCTGCAAAGCACCTCAGCTCTGATAAGATTAGAGCAGCAAAACTCTCCAATGCCTTTCCTTAGGTCTGGTGGGATTAAAGTAATAAAACTCTCCAAGGCCTTTCCTTAGGTCTGGTGGTATTAAAGTAATAAAACTCTCCAAGGCCTTTCCTTAGGTCTGGTGGTATTAAAGTAATAAAACTCTCCAAGGCCTTTCCTTAGGTCTGGTGGTATTAAAGTAATAAAACTCTCCAAGATGACACCTGAGCTACTGTTACATATTTTACCAGTATACTTGCTAGTGTCAACATATAATGAGTACCAATATTGGTGTTGATGATAGGTCTTTCCAGCTTCTTGATTAGGAAGGTTGTCCAGTCAGTAAAGTTAAGGGTTTTTTAAGATTTTTTTTTTTTAAATTGGTATATAGTCAGTTCTCACTTAACTTTGCCAGGTTGTGAGGTTTAAGAAATCTGTTATAAAGCTGTAAGACATATATAGTAATTAGAAGACAGTGTGGTGGTATGAAAGGTATAATTCATTTGTCTATTTAGTATAGAGCAAGAGAGATCGACAAAGCATATGTATTAATCTAGAGTGGATGGATTGTGGTGCAGTGGATGTCTCAGGAGATGTAAGGGGGAATAAGTTTTAGCAGGTTGTCTGTGATTTTAAATCATCTGACTTTATTTAAAGCAGTTTCGGCAGCTTACAAATTAATCCATGTTTGAAATATTCGTATAGAAATGCCTTTCTTTTACTGAGAATGGCAGATGTAAGAAAAAGTCATTGTATTCAATAGTTTTTGTAATATATCATGTACTGTTCTTCTTTTGAAGGTTGCAGCCATCCGAAAGAAAATCGAAGAGGAACGCAAGATGCTTGCTGAACGAAAAGATCTTGAAGAAGAAGAACGGAATAAAGTCAAGAATGATTTAGATAGACACGAGAAAGAAGTTAAGAAGGCACTGTGAGTATTTATCATGTTATGGCAGTAAAATATTTTGAATATAATTAGTTCTCTTGTCTCGTGGCTAACAGTGCTTTAAACCATTAGTTTGATGTATTGTAATATGTATTTTTTTTTTAACTTTTTTACAGTCTCATGGCAGGTTTCATTGTTGTGTTTTACTCGGGGAACAATTTGGATAGTTACCATAAGCTCATCAATTTAACTCTCAAGTAATGAATCATCATCAACATGTTTATATAATACTGTTCTACCCTTTTATTATACTCGATCTCTGCTAGTGGCAGTCACTTAGTATGCTGCTACTTGTATTATACTTTTATTATACTTGATCTCTGCTAGTGGCAGTCACTTAGTATGCTGCTACTTGTATTATACTTTTATTATACTTGATCTCTGCTAGTGGCAGTCACTTAGTATGCTGCTACTTGTATTATACTTTTATTATACTTGATCTCTGCTAGTGGCAGTCACTTAGTATGCTGCTACTTGTATTATACTTTTATTATACTTGATCTCTGCTAGTGGCAGTCACTTAGTATACTGCTACTTGTCTATTCTTTAAATTAAATCTGTAGCATAAACTGCATTATTATTATAAAAGTTATGGCCTAGTATGGCAGTTGAGTCACTTGAGAAATATTTTTAATTTATTCTCTGTATACTGTCTGTATCGTAGTGTATTGTGTACTGTATGATGACATGCACTATGTTCCAGTATGTGTGTACACAGTCCCCTTGTTTTCCCTGCCTTACTTCCATTTTTAGTCTTATTTATGTACATCTCAATTCTTACAGCCCTTTTTAGTAATACAGTTAATCCTAATATAACACAGGGGCTATGTTTCTGAAAATTATCACCTTTTGGAAATTAGTTCTATGTGAAATAAAGAACATATAGAATAAATAGTTATGTTCTAGGGACCTCCAGATTTTCCAATTTTTCTTTTTAAATATTTTCTTAGGTACAGATTACTACATTTTATCTTGCTTCACTTGCCAAACTATGGCATCATTTATCCGGCTAGTGCAGAAATATTTAAAGTTCTCTGTGATTTGGTGAAAGGTTTTCCAACCAGAAGACATGTGCCACCAAACTCTAGACATGGAAGCTTCTCCACCAGTTTTAGTGGTGTGAACAAAACACGAGGCACTGTATATGGATCTTAAACTGCATCTTCTGTGTACTATATTTCACAAATTCTTGTTCTGTCAGATACCTTGTGAGATCAGTAACCAAAATGCGACTTTGTGTTTGTCCCTTGCTTCGTAGGTTTATTGTAAATGATGGCTAGTGAATGAAAATGGCATGTTTAACTGGCAGCATGTGGACAGAGCTGATCGAATCATATGACTGCAGACACACTATAAGGGTCACCCTTGGGGCTGCCCTTTATGAGTTTGCTGATGTAAAAAAAAAATTTTTTAATTCTTTCTTGACCTTGGGCTCTTATATTTGCTACTCTCTTCTTCTGACATGTGTTCTGTTAAAGGCAGTGCTGAATGTTCCTGTGAAAATCAGTGCTTTTCACGAATATTATTATTTGCATGCTCATAACGAAAACTATTTTAGTCACAATGAAGCAACCCTATATTAACTTTAAGCACTTTACAATTTTTTTTCAAATTAACTGATGACAGTTTTATACAATGTATAAATATTTTCATCATATTCAGAAAAGAACAAGAAGCTTTGAAACAGAGGTTACAAGGCTTAGAACGAAAGATTTTAGTAGGAGGAGAAAATTTATTGGAGAAAGCTGAGGAGCAAGAACGGCTTCTAGAAGAATCTGCCAAAGAACTGGAGGAAAGACGGAGACACGAAGAACAACTGCGTCATGCTATTACACAGAAAGAGGTGGGTGAGCATGACTAAACTTTGTGCAATAGTTCTGTGTTAGGCAGAATGAGGTGAGTGCATTTAATTGGTTCTCTCTGTTTGTTGATCTGTATATTTCATAATGTAATAATGGTAGAATCACCCACAAAATGTTAAGCAAATGGACACATGCAACTAATGTGACATTTTATTGTGGCAACTTTTTGCTCTGCAGTAACTCTGTCAAGCCATTACAGCTGCAAATGGAAGTAAGGAAGAGGTGGTAGGATGACAGAATATGATAAGCCCAATATTGTTGATTAGATTGGATGTGAGAGAGGGAGGTCTGAGACAGACAAAAAGCTTAGTGAATACATGACTCACGAAATCATAACACGATTAAACAAACCATGGAACAGGTGGGGTTTGAACCTGTGGTGAGTAAGTCGTAAAACTCCAGGCCTGTGTGTAAGCCAGCTGGCTGAGTGGCTTACACACTGGTTTGGAGTTTTACAATTCACTCACCATGGGTTCAAACCCCACCCATTCCATGGGAGGGGTTTGGGATGTTGGCAGTTTGGAGGGACTTCTGAACTGTCGTATCTGAGTGCCTCTGCAAAGACAGTGATTATGTATGAGTGAGGGGAAAGTGTTGAATAATGATGAAAGTATTTTCTTTTTGGGGATTTTCTTTCTTTTTTGGGCCACCCTGCCTAGGTGGGAGACGACTGACGTGTAAAAAAAAAAAAGTATGTATGTATGTAAAGAAAGCAAGAATGTGAGTGATAGTTTCTAATAAATTTACAGGCAAATTTATTAGAAATTGTAATTACTGTGGCCATGGTTGTTATTTTATATTAGTCATCTTAGGGAATGTGTAAATTAGGGCATTAGCTACAGCTGAATAAGAGCATAAAAATAAGAATGGAGCACTGTAGTAAGACCTACAGACCCATGCAAAGCAGGTCCTACTCACACCTGTTCCCAATCATATATTTTTAATCTATTTTTAATTGAAACTATACAAGGTATTAGCATCAGTGATGCTGTTTGGTAGTTTGTTCCACTCATCTACAACTCTATTGCCAAACCAGTCTCTCCTAGGTGTATGAAATAACTTTATTTTGCATTTCACATCAGGCTGAAAGAATTGACTTGGAGGAGCGATACACTAGTCTTCAGGAAGAAGCTGCTGGCAAGACGCGTAAATTGAAGAAGGTTTGGACTCTCCTAATGGCTGCTAAGTCTGAGCTTGGAGATATGCAAGCAGAGCATCAGAGAGAAATGGAAGCACTTCTTGAGTCCGTGCGGCACCTCTCTCGTGAACACAAGTTACACCAGTTGATAATTGATTCTTTTATTCCTCTTGAATATCAGGTAGGAATCTGTTTTGCCTTTCCTTCAGCTCACAGAAATAGCTATAGCCAGTTGATAGCACCTCAAAATATTATATTTCTTTAGCCAATAATGCTTTTCTTCAAAAATTCATCACTTCTTTTTCTAGTTTTATCATTGCCATCCTCTCTATATGCCCAAATCAATAGCCCTTCCTCAACCCTCTGAATTATACTCTTGGTGACCCCTACATTGCCTTTAAGTTTCTACACCCTCAATTCTCTGCATGGTATTCACACATTGCTCTTGAGCATGACATCTCCATTGCTTGTAGTTTTCTTCTCACTGAAGTGTACAAAACCCATATAAAAAGTGTTGGTACAACTTTACTCTTGTAATTATCTTGTTTACCTTCATAGATAACCCTCTCTTTCTACAGATGCCTCAACACTCCACCCATCTTTTTCCCCTATCACCTATTCTATGGTTTACATTGTTTTTCATAGATCCATCTGCTGACATGTTCACTTCAAAACATCTACATGGATACAAATCCTCTATAGTCCCTTTGTCTAACCTGATATTCAATCTATCATTGCCTAGGCTTTTTTGTTACCCTCATCACCTTGCTCTTTTTCTATGTTAACTTTAAATTTCCTTCATTTATATCCCCTCCCAAATTTGTCCACCAATCTTGCAACCTATCTTTAGACTGTCCCAAAAGAACTGTCATCAGCAAAGAGTATCATTTCATCTAACACCTCTTCCCAAGACCCTAGCATTCACGTCTCTTACAATAAACATAGTCTAAATGATTTTGACCCTTTTTAGAGTATCATTCTCTGTTAGACTGGCTAGGGGAATATATTTCCTTCCCTGGAGTAATGTAGAAGAGGGAATATCATCACAATATGCAATATATTCTGGGGAATGGCCATAGAAGATAAAAAAGGCTCTTTATCATGGGAGGATCTAGAACAGTGGGATAAAAATGGAAATTGCTTACCAAACCGAGCCACAGACACATCAAGAAACACTACTGCAACGTAAGGATAGTCTAAGGTCCTGATTTACAGCGCTTTGTTTTACAGCATTTCACTAATTCATTGGTTTTCACCTATACCAATTCTTCATTTATCCAGACTTCCTACAATAAATATATTCATCACTCATTATAAGCTAAGGACAAATATATTTTAAAGTAATTAATGTGTGTACTATACAGTGGACCCCCAGTTAACGATATTTTTTCATTCCAGAAGTATGTTCAGGTGCCAGTACTGACCGAATTTGTTCCCATAAGGAATATTGTGAAGTAGATTAGTCCATTTCAGACCCCCAAACATACACATACAAACGCACTTACATAAATACACTTACATAATTGGTCGCATTGGGAGGTGATCGTTATGCGGGGGTCCACTGTATATGCATTTTTTAGGGTTAGCTCTATTGCTCACTTAATATGATAGTGTCATTTACCAAACTGCAGCAGGCCAGGATTTGACACCACAACTTGTTGTCCTGCCCCAAGAGGTCACACAACGTATATGTCACCTTAACATCTGAGTCATTGATCCTACAAACAACACGAGCCTAGCGAACTAGGCTCGTTTCGTGTTGTGAGGACACTCGTAGCAGATGTATGCTCAAGGATTAATTTTAGCCTCCTCCTGTTTGAATACCTGCCTCCACAAGTAGTCTATATAGTGTAAACATGTTATTAGGCTTTTATATGCATTTGAAAGTGAAAAAAAAAAAAAGGTTATGTTTCACTTTACAGCAGTAGCCCAAAACTGTACCTGCTGTATAAGCGGGGCCCTCCTGTATAGAAGTGGAATGAACAAGACACTGATAACATAGAATTAGATGCCATACAGAGGTTCCAGTGTAAATATGATAATCCATTTCACATCAGGCTTTGAGCTATAAGATGGGACCAAGTGCTAGAGCTCTTGCTCTTACAATTGCAAATGCTAGGCAATTAAATGTGTAAATCTGTGGTAATTATATATGATTATATTCTTGTGTTTAAAATATATTGCATTTATCTTTCTTGTATAATTTAACAGGAAATGATAGAGCGTTATGTTCACTGGAATGAAGACATAGGAGAGTGGCAGCTCAAGTGTGTTGCATATACAGGGAATAACATGAGAAAGCAGTTAGATAATGGAGATGCTGAAAAAGAGAATCAGGTAAGATAGATCAATACTTGTATTTAACATTAAGATACAAGATGGTGAAGCTGTGTAGTACAGTTGTAAGAATCTAATAAATTCCATTAATTTATTGCTATATCAGTTTTATTGTAAGAACAATTTAATATCATGGTAGGCTGTCAGTATTTACAGTTGAGTACATGATCCACACACCACATTTGGGGCTTCCTGGTAGTTGAACATATTAATATGGAATAATTGAAATTATTACAAGAATAAATTTATAAATTCATTATACCATATACAAATTTTTGTCACAAACTTGTAAAACATCTTTAATTAAATATTTTCTTAAAATATTTATAATCTGACATTGATATTGATAGCATGGAACAGTTAGTTTGACAACCTTGCTGTCATTGATACTTGTATTACAGCTGATAGTCATGTAACCCAAATGCTGAGTAGATTTTAGGATGTGTTCATCAGCATCCGTGAAATGTTATCAAAGTTATTTGACTTTGTTCGTTACATTATTTTTGTTACGTGTGTTATCTTTTAATCACTCATTAGGATATATATATATATTTTTTTTTTTGCTTCATATATGAGTTTACTTCATACCTTTAACTTTTAGCTTCATTTACATGTATGTACTCTCAAAGATAAAAAAAAAACAAAAAAACTGAAATTAGCAAATTTATATGTAGATGTAATAGTATTTTTTTGTGGCTTTGTGGAGAATAATAGTAGCAGTATTTTTGCTTGATAGGATAATGTACTATTAAGAACTGTATGACCCCTAGAGTTTCAGTAGGTAAGTGAGATTACAGTTTTAATTAAGCACTTGGTAATTTAGATGCAGAGGAGAGGTTTGCTGCCATAGACAGTCTTATATTGGAAAATAGTGTTGGATTAGCAAAGAGGAATGGAAACGTAAGTGAACTTTTAGTCACGTGTACTAAATTACAAGTTAGGTTATAAGAGAGATTAATAGGATTAGGATTTTGAGGCATATCTTAATTATTTAGCTACAGCTCGACACCTAGCTTCGTGGCTAAGACCATTAAGATCATTATTTAGTTGTAGCTACAGTTAAAGTAAGAGGTAGATGGGAAAAGAGGAAAATGGCAACAAGCAAGAGGGAGGTAAAAGTGTATAAACTAAGGGAGGAGGAAGTTTGGGTGAGATATAAGCAACTATTGGCAGAAAGGTGGGCTGGCGCAAGTATGAGTAGTGGGGAAGAGGGTTGGAACAGTTTTAAAAATGCAGTATTAGAATGTGGGGCAGAAGTTTGTGGTTATAGGAGGGTGGGTGCAGGAGGAAAGAAGAGTGATTGGTGGATTGATGAAGTAAAGGGTTTGATAAAAGAGAAAAAGTTAGCTTATGAGAGGTTTTTACAAAGCAGAAGTGTTATAAGAAGAGTAGAGTATATGGAGAGTAAAAGAAAGGTAGAGAGAGTGGTGAGAGAGTGCAAAAGGAGAGCAGATGATAGAGTGGGAGAGGCACTGTCAAGAAATTTTAATGAAAATAAGAAAAAATTTTGGAGTGAGTTAAACAAATTCAGAAAGCCTAGAGAACAAATGGATTTGTCAGTTAAAAACAGAGTAGGGGAGTTAGTAGATGGGGAGATGAAGGTTTTGGGTAGATTGCGAGAATATTTTGAGGAACTTTTAAATGTCGACGAAGAAAGGGAAGCGGTAATTTCATGCACTGGTCAGGGAGGTATACCATCTTTTAGGAGTGAAGAAGAACAGGATGTGAGTGTGGGGGAGGTGTGTGAGGCATTATGTAGAATGAAAGGGGGTAAAGCAGCTGGAACTGACAGGATCATGACAGAAATGCTAAAAGCAGGGGGGAATATAGTGTTGGAGTGGTTGGTATTTTTGTTTAATAAATGTATGAAAGAGGGGAAGGTACCTAGGGATTGGCGGAGAGCATGTATAGTCCCTTTATATAAAAGGGAGGGGGACAAAAGAGATTGTAAAAATTATAGAGGAATAAGTTTACTGAGTATACCAGGAAAAGGGCACAGTAGGGTTATAATTGCAAGAATTAGAGTTAAGACAGAATGTAGGATTGCGGATGAGCAAGGAGGTTTCAGAGTGGGTAGGGGATGTGCAGATCAAGTGTTTACATTGAAGCATATATGTGAACAGTATTTAGATAAAGGTAGGGAAGTTCTTATTGCATTTATGGATTTAGAAAAGGCATATGGAGAAGAAAGAAGTGTAGAGGAGAGAGAGAGATTTTGGGAAATGTTGAGTGAATGCATGGGGAGTTTTGAATCAAGTGTGAGAGTAATGGTGGTTGGGGATTTCAATGCTAAAGTGGGTAAAAATGTTATGGAGGGAGTAGTAGGTAAATTTGGGGTGACGGGTAAATGTAAATGGGGAGCCTTTAATTGAGCTATGTGTAGAAAGAGATTTGGTAATAAGTAATACATATTTTATGAAAAAGAGGATAAATAAATATACAAGGTATGATGTAGCACGTAATGAAAGTAGTTTGTTAGATTATGTATTGGTGGATGAAAGGTTGATGGGTAGGCTCCAGGATATACATGTTTATAGAGGGGCAACTGATATATCGGATCATTATTTAGTTGTAGCTACAGTTAGAGTAAGAGGTAGATGGGAAAAGAGGAAAGTGGCAACAACAAGTAAGAGGGAGGTGAAAGTGTATAAACTAAGGGAGGAGGAAGTTCGGGGGAGATATAAGCGACTGTTGGCAGAAAGGTGGGCTAGTGCAAAGATGAGTAGTGGGGGGGTTGAAGAGGGTTGGAATAGTTTTAAAAATGCAGTATTAGAATGTGGGGCAGAAGTTTGTGGTTATAGGAGGGTGGGGGCAGGTGGAAAGAGGAGTGATTGGTGGAATGATGAAGTAAAGGGTGTGATAAAAGAGAAAAAGTTAGCTTATGAGAGGTTTTTACAAAGCAGAAGTGTTATAAGAAAAGCAGAGTATATGGAGAGTAAAAGAAAGGTGAAGAGAGTGGTGAGAGAGTGCAAAAGGAGAGCAGATGATAGAGTGGGAGAGGCACTGTCAAGAAATTTTAATGAAAATAAGAAAAAAATTTGGAGTGAGTTAAACAAGTTAAGAAAGCCTAGGGAAAGTATGGATTGTCAGTTAAAAATAGAGTAGGGGAGTTAGTAGATGGGGAGAGGGAGGTATTAGGTAATGGCGAGAATATTTTGAGGAACTTAAATTTTGAGGAAGAAAGGGAGGTGGTAATTTCATGCACTGGTCGGGGAGGTATACCATCTTTTAGGAGTGAAGAAGAGCAGAATGTAAGTGTGGGGGACGTACGTGAGGCATTACGTAGAATGAAAGGGGGTAAAGCAGCTGGAACTGATGGGATCATGACAGAAATGTTAAAAGCAGGGGGGATATAGTGTTGGAGTGGTTGGTACTTTTGCTTAATAAATGTATGAAGGGGGGGAAAGGGTACCTAGGATTGGCAGAGAACATGTATAGTCCCTTTATATAAAGGGAAAGGGGACAAAAGAGATTGTAAAAATTATAGAGGAATAAGTTTATTGAGTATACCAGGAAAAGTGTATGGTAGGGTTATAATTGAAAGAATTAGAGGTAAGACAGAATGTAGGATTGTGGATGAGCAAGGAGGTTTCAGAGTGGGTAGGGATGTGTAGATCAAGTGTTTACATTGAAGCATATATGTGAACAGTAAATTTTTGATAAAGGTAGGGAAGTTTTTATTGCATTTATGGATTTAGAAAAGGCATATGATAGAGTGGATGGGGAGCAATGTGGCAGATGTTGCAAGTATATGGAATAGGTGGTAAGTTACTAAATGCTGTAAAGAGTTTTTATGAGGATAGTGAGGCTCAGGTTAGGGTGTGTAGAAGAGAGGGAGACTACTTCCCAGTAAAAGTAGGTCTTAGACAGGGATGTGTAATGTCACCATGGTTGTTTAATATATTTATAGATGGGGTTGTAAAAGAAGTAAATGCTAGGGTGTTTGGGAGAGGGGTGGGATTAAATTATGGGGAATTAAATTCAAATTGGGAATTAACACAGTTACTTTTTGCTGATGATACTGTGCTTATGGGAGATTCTAAAGAAAAATTGCAAAGGTTAGTGATGAGTTGGAATGTGTGTAAAGGTAGAAAGTTGAAAGTGAACATAGAAAAGAGTAAGGTGATGAGGGTATCAAATGATTTAGATAAAGAAAAATTGGATATCAAATTGGGGAGGAGGAGTATGGAAGAAGTAAATGTTTTCAGACACTTGGGAGTTGACGTGTCGGCGGATGGATTTATGAAAGGGTGAGGTTAATCATAGAAAATTGATGAGGGAAAAAAGGTGAGTGGCGCATTGAGGTATATGTGGAGTCAAAAAACGTTATCTATGGAGGCAAAGAAGGGAATGTATGAAAGTATAGTAGTACCAACACTCTTATATGGGTGTGAAGCTTGGGTGGTAAATGCAGCAGCGAGGAGACGGTTGGAGGCAGTGGAGATGTCCTGTTTAAGGGCAATGTGTGGTGCAAATATTATGCAGAAAATTCAGAGTGTGGAAATTAGGAGAAGGTGTGGAGTTAATAAAAGTATTAGTCAAAGGGCAGAAGAGGGGTTGTTGAGGTGGTTTGGTCATTTAGAGAGAATGGATCAAAGTAGAATGACATGGAAAGCATATAAATCTATAGGGACAGGAAGGCGAGGTAGGGGTCGTCCTCGAAAGGGTTGGAGAGAGGGGGTAAAGGAGGTTTTGTGGGCAAGGGGCTTGGACTTCCAGCAAGCGTGCGTGAGCGTGTTAGAAAGGAGTGAATGGAGACGAATGGTACTTGGGACCTGACGATCTGTTGGAGTGTGAGCAGGGTAATATTTAGTGAAGGGATTCAGGGAAACCGGTTATTTTCATATAGTCGGACTTGAGTCCTGGAAATGGGAAGTACAATGCCTGCACTTTAAAGGAGGGGTTTGGGATATTGGCAGTTTGGAGGGATATGTTGTGTATCTTTATACGTATATGCTTCTAAACTGTTGTATTCTGAGCACCTCTGCAAAAACAGTGAT